TAAAGTAATCTGATTCTGATTCTGAAAAGGACAGTGACCCCAAGCATACCTCCAAATTAGCTACAAAGTGGCTTAAGGGCAACAAAAGTCATGGTACTTGAGTGGCCATCACAAAGCCCTGATCTCAGTGCCATAGAAAATTTGTGGGTGGCACTGAAAAGACAAATGCGACCAAGGAGGCCTACAAACCTGACCCAGTTACACCAGTTCTGTCAAGAGAAGTGGGCCAAGATGCCAGCAAACTATTATATAAAACCTTTGGAAGGACATTTGGCCCAAGTGAAACAGTTTCAGGACAATTCTACAAAATACTAAGGATGTGTGTATACTTCTGACTTTGATGAAAATAATAAAAAAATACCTAACAATTTTCTCTCTATTTATTCTGACATTTCACAAAAAACATGTTAATATTTATTGATCTAAAACCAAAAAGTTTACTGTATGTGTTTTTTTCAGAAGGATGTACTGTAAATGTCTGGTTTCAACTGTACATGTAATTGTACCTTGAGCTTTCCTGCTGCTCCACTCCTCCCCTCTTACCAAGTTATGCCAGAGGACACAGAGCAGACACATTTGCTCACTAGTGCTGTCTAAAACCTGGTCAGCTTGAAGTTTTAGGAGGGAAAACAGAACAAACCACAGCAGAGAGCAAGTGATCAACACTTGCTTCCAGACGTTCTTGTTGCCAATTTTTAAAATATTTTTCACCGTACCATGTTATTGAATACAACAACAACTACTTCTGAACGTTAACTGTTTATCACCTCTTCAGACATTTTCACTTCAGACCACAGGAGAAACACACCTTTTCATCATTTCCAAGATTTATTGATGATTTATTACATTAATTAGTTAAAATTCTTTTGAAAAAGAGTTTCCATATTGCAGTTTATTTAGGATTACATTTAGCTTAAAGAGTGCAGTGTTACATCTTAGTATAACTGCAAGAAACCTGGTAACTCTTTGACTTGAATAGCTTGTTCTGTTTTAAATTACAAATTCAATTTTGTTTTGATTTTCAGATGTTTGCTTTAGTTATAGTCACAATTATCTATGGAGCTTGGAAAGAAAGCGACTGGACTTCTTTAAGCTTCTTGAAGACGTTTCACCTCTCATCTAAAGAGCTCCTTTAGTTCTAAAACGAAATGGTATTAGTATTTAAATGCTAGTGGGGGTTGACCCCTAACCCACATGATTATAATCATGTGACTCATCGCATGACCCAAGTTGTGAAAAAAGGTGTGGGTCATGTAAGGACAAGAAACGCATTATTGGCTAAAACAAGCATTCAATATTTATTATTTACTGTTACTGATGCTTATGTTGGTTGCTTCTGTAGTTTCCTTACTGTGTTGTTTTCTTTTTGCTTGTTTTTTTTTTCAGAAGGTGTTGAAGCAGATTTTCAGTGTCTTAACAGTGTAAAATCACTAACCAAATTATCGACTTGTGTTATCGACTTTTTTTGCTTTTATACATTAAACACCTTTCTTTAACCTATCATGTGACCTATTGAGGCCACATGATGCAAGATGTGAGTAGGGGTTGAGGCACCTGGGACTGGATCTCCAAACTACATTGTAGATAACGGACAGTTGGTGTTGTAAGCCACCCCCTTTTTTCATCTGAAACCTCTGGTAATAATGACCCGTAACTTTTTTTTTCACACTTTGGCTCATGTGACGAGGCACATAATCAATAGTGGGTCAGTGACCGTCTTAAGGGACAGGGTTTAGATACCTGGGACTCTCCAATATTTGCCCCACAGTCATGACAATTTGCATGTTAATGATCATGAAACTGACCTCACGGTCCATTGTTATTCAGTGGTGCTAGTTTCAGTCATTATGCAAATGTACTTTTTTTGGGGAATCCTACAGTCAGCTAAGAATGTGAAAGTCACTTGGATGAGTGACAAAATGTTTCTCCCACTGAAAAAACTACGTCCAGATGAACAGATAAACTTTTTGTGATTACTTTACCTCGATGATTGAGCGTGCATAGAGACATTTCCGCCATTTGGTTTCTCGGATGAGAGCTGAAACGTCTACAAGAAAGTTTCTTTCCAAGCTTCATAGACTATCATAACTTGGAAGCCTGAAAACCTACACAGAAAATCAGTCACAATTATTTTCCGCTGATACTATAATGTTTTATATGTAACACATACACTGTACATATACTCCTATTGAATTTCTTTTTCTTTGTTTTTCTTTGTATCCTCATCTGGTTTATTTTCTAATTGCTATTTCTTCCTTCCCCCTGCCTGCATTGCCTCCATCTGTCTCTACAGTTCTTCCCTCAGTGTCTCTTCTCCAGAAGACTCCCTCCTCTCCGGTCAGCTGCTACGCTACAGGTTTCTATCCTAACAGAGTCATGATGTTTTGGATGAAAGATGAAGAAGAGATCCATGAAGGTGTGGATCACAGAGAGATCCTCCCCAACGATGATGAGACCTTCCAGATGAATGTTGATCTGAATGTTTCATCAGTCAAACCTGAAGACTGGAGAAGATATGATTGTGTGTTTCAGCTCTCCAATAGTGAACCAGTCATCACCAAACTGGACAAAACAGTGATCAGAACAAACTGTGCAAAAACAATACTTTGCAATGATGGAGGTGAGAGAAACATTATGTTTGCTGATATTGTTAATGTAATGCTTGATTTGTTTATCCTACATTGGATCCCAGGAGGCATAGCTATTCATGTTAGGAATAACTCTTGTAGATCTTAATGGGGAAGAATTTCTTCTTTTTTCTTAAATTATTGTATATTACAATCATTTTCTCTCTCTTTCATTGTACATATAAGTTGTTACTGTTAATATTAGTAAGAAAAAATTCATAACCCCCTTAATGTGATATTAGAACTTCTACATTTGTCACCAAACTACATAAATCCATGACCAAAGGGGCAGAAACAACATAAGTAATCGATCAATCAAGTAAGAGCAACTCATTTATTTCCCATGACTGCTAAAACTGTGTATTGTCTATAATGTGGTGCTTCAATGTCCATCCACCCACTTACTTCCCCTTATTTGAGGCCAAGTTGTGGGGGATAGCAGACTAAGAAGGTCTGGCAGAGAAGTCAGACCTCCCTCCCTCTCCCTAGCCGCCTGCTCCACCTTATATGGGGGAACACCAAGGAATTCCCAGGCTAGCCAAGAGATGTAATCTCTCCAGGGTGTCGTGCCCTAGGGCCTCCATCTGGTGAGACATGCCTGGAACAGTTGCCAAACTACTTCAGCTGGCTCCTTTTAATGTGGACGAGTAGCTGCTCTCCTCTGAGCCCCTCTTGAATGGCTGACCTCCTCACCCCATCTCTAAGGGAGGGGCCAGGCCCTAGTTTCTGTCGCTTGCATTTGTATCTCATTCTTTCAGTCACTACCCAGAGCTTGTAACTATAGGTGCTCAGTTCTCTCTTCACCATGATGGACTGGTACAGCATCCGCATTACTGCAGATGCCGCCCCAATCCATCTGTCAATTTCTCACTCCCCTCACCTGTCACTTGTGAACAGTACCCTGATAGATTTAAACTCATCCACTTGGGGGAGTGATCCCCAAGGCCTCCACCTCTGACTGCCACACATTGCAGCCAACACCTATTTCCCCTGGGAGTGGTAGGCTTACAGGAGGGCTTCTGACTGTTTCTTTGATTCAGAGTATGTGAGGTGTTACTGGTGTTAAAACTTGTAAGAATACCCTTTTTAAAGTTTACACTTTATACCATGTAACTCTGATAGTGAACTTCTAAATTTTAAAATTCAACACTGTCTCTAACGTGTGTCTAATAAAATCCTCAGTTTATTTATGGCTTTTCACTGAGGCATATGTTACTGAATGCAGTTAGAAGTGAAAACTAGAGCTCCCGCTAATGAGTTACATAGTTAGTAATATAATTTTAGTGCATTGTCCTGCTTAATTGAAATATGTAGTGTAGATGAAACCTATAGGATGGATGTGTGATTTTATTATAATGTTTTAGGCAACTGTTGTTGTGATTTGGCGCTATGTAAATAAAACTGAACTGAATGTACTTTTTTAAATTTTGTTTTTTACTTAGTAGAGACGCCCGATGCCAGGATGACTGCTGTCATCACTGCAGTGGTTGCTGCAGTGGTTGTTCTTTCTGTGGCTGCTGTTGGATTTGTTGTTTACAAAAAGAAAAAAGGTAAGATTCAAATGAGCGCAGCTGGCATTCTGATACAGACTGTAAACCTGAACTCATCTGGCATTTTGAAATCCTTTTTTTATTTCAGAAAAACAGTGTACCTTGAAAGTAAATGTCTATATAGTGGTCCCTCTCTATAATGCGTTTCACCTTTTGTGGCCTCGCTGTTTCACTGATATTCTTTGTGCAATTTTGCATACTTTCTTTTTTTTTTGCGTCCTTATAAGGCTGCAGACCATTGTCAATCAATCTTGTGCTGTGTCTCCTGTACAGTACAGATTGCGTTCAACTTGTCAAATTTACATAATTCTTCGATCTCTACAGTGTGACTCTGAAGTGCTGTACTGTATGTATGTAAGTTTTCTCCCCAACAAACACAACAATGTCGCCAAAACTTTTTGCACCGTCAAAGGCACCTGCGGTAGCACTCAAAAAGAAAAGAAAAGGCAGAGGAAGATGCTAACCGTCGCACAAAAAGTTAGACTAATGGACATGCTAAAGGACGGTAGAAGTTACCGTATTTTTGGGACCATAAGGTGCACAGAATTATAAGGCGCATTAAGCGAAACAAAACTGTCAGATAAGTCAAACTTTACTCAACTGCATATAGAAGTCATTGAGTCCATGGACTCAAGTAGCTGCATCAATGCACTACGCAGACTTTTTGCTTTAAGAGGGCCTGTGAAGCAGCTGAGGTCAGACTGTGGTACAAACTTTGTTGGAGCATGTTCTGAATTAGGAATAAGACAAGATGATCAGAGTCAAGACAAGATCCTGAGATACCTCTACGAACACGGCTGTACATGAGAGTTCAACCCTCCACATGCCTCGCATATGGGAGGTGTGTAGGATTGGTGTAACCAGGAGGATACTGGACTCCATGTTGTCTCACGGTAAACACAGTTCCCTGACTCATGAAGTGCTCTGTACCTTGATGGCAGAGGTGTCTGCTATAATCAATGCAAGGCCATTAATCCCAGTCTCCTCCGATCCTTCTTCACCACTGCTGCTGACTCCTGCTATGATAGTAACGCAGAAACCTGGTGTACCACCTCCAGCTGGCGAGTTTGTTGGAAAAGAACTTTTGAAGTGCCAGTGGAGACGAGTACAGGTACTTGCTGATGAATTCTGGACGCTCACCTTCCTGGCTCTTGAAAAGTAGTTTGGCTGGCTGTTTATCTATGTTCACACTCAGGGAGTTTAACACATAGAGAGAACAGTACATTATATATTTTTGAACATATAGCATAATGATAATACTAGTTATTGTAAACTTTACAAACCACCCAGCAGTATTCAAAGAAGCTTGCAAAGCAAAGCGTCTGGACTTCTTTAAGTTGCTTGAAGACGTTTCACCTCTCACCTGAGAAGCTTCTTCAGTTCTAAGGTCAAATGGTATAGTATAGTATAGTATAGCACGTATAGTGCATCTGCAGGTAAATGAACATCAAATCTCTAAGACAGACTGAAATCTGTATATTTATCACCCTTATGATAAAACCCATGTCAGCCATTGGTTTATGGACTTTGTATTTTGAAGCCTCAACATTTGCTTTATTGCTATTGCTACGTTGGTTTTTGTGAGCCTTTTGGGACCATATTAGAATCTGGAGTCATGCACACTATTGTTTCATTTAGTGTGTATCCATAAGATTCGTACAGCAGATCCAAGTTGTGCCTTGAAAACAGGAAAGTCGT